GCTCAGTGGGAGCCAACGCGGAAAGGAGGGAACAGGGTGGGTGGCTCGGAGCCGCGCCGGGATCTCCCAGCCGGGAAGCCCTGGACGCTGCTTTTCGGGGTGGAGGAGGAATCGGTGCCATCTCCGTCCTCCTTGTCCAGACGAGCTCGATGAGTGTTTATGATGGTCCTCGTTCGCACGGCAGGAGGGTGGGAGGTGGGCATCATTCATTCAAGCAATTGTCCCCCGGGGTGAGTGACGGGGCCGTTGCCGAGCAGGTGGAGAGGGTACCGACACCCTGACCTCAGGGCCTGAGGTTAGAGAAGATGAACACATGGTGGGAAGCAAATCGGAAGCGGTCCTTGCCCAGCTGGCGGGGCTGGCAGCTGAGCTTCGCCAACTTAGGAACCAGGAGGTCCCGTTGGATCCGGGTCTGGGCACGTGCCCGGGCTGCGGGCTGCATCCCAGTGGGGGGCGTGCAGGAGGCGGCCGGTCCATGATGCTCTCTCTTCATTGATGTTTCCTCCTTCCTGTCTGAAATCAATAAAAAATATGTATTTTTAAAAAGTGATAAATGCTGGAGAGGAAATACGAAGTGTTAGAGGGTTCCAGAAAAAGGAGTGTACCCTTGGCACAGCGGGGAGAAGGTACCGTGTGAGCAAGACATCGGAGGCGACGGGGCAAACCCTGAGGAATGCACGCAGCACAGGGTGACCTGACGGCTGGGGGCGAGGGGGGTGCAGCTTCCGGGGAGACACAAAACAGAGTTGACGGCTATGCTGGGAGATTTTGACTATTTGTAATCAAAACAACTTTACAGTTCTAAGTAGGAGAGTAAAAGAACTGCTTTTAGAAAGTGAAATAGCTAGTTTTTAAAAGAAATCCTCACCCGAAGATATTTTTCCACCAATTTTTAGAGAGAGTGGGAGGGAGAGGGAAAGACACATCAGTGTGAGAGAAGCACGTTGGTTGATGGCCTCCTGCAGAGGCGACCAGGGCCCGGACCGGGATGGAGCCTGCAACTGAGGCGTGTGCGCCCCTGATGGGCCTCTGACCTGGGACACTGCTGCAGGCTGGTGCGCCGTTCGCGGAGCCCACCCGCCAGGGCTAACACGGTGTGAGCGGGTGGAATTAGCTCGGAAAGGAGAAGCTAGGATGCTGATTAGATGAGAGGTAATGGATTGAACGCCACCCACCAGTGAAAAAGGCGAAAGAACAAGATGGCAGAGCTCACCGAACCGGTGTGGCTCAGTGGATAGAGCGTCCGCCTGCGGACTCAAGGGTCCCAGGTTGGATTCCGGTCAAGGGCATGCACCTTGGTTGCGGGCACATGCCCACTGGGGGGCGTGCAGGAGGCGGCTGGCCGATGTTTTCTAGGGTGCTCTGCACCAGGTGACCAGAAGGGTTATACGCCATGAATGTAATTAACCCCTTCCCCGGCAGAAACGTGTATACACGTTTTCACAAAATGTTCTTTTTTCAGTCGTCGACGAGTATACTCGTCTAAAAACTTTACCTTCAAAAACCAGCTACATACGTACCATTCTAAATAATTTCATCTAGAAACTTTCTGAGGAAATACTATTCTTAACCACAAAAATGGGAAGAAAAAATAATTACAAACTGTTTTCATAACCAGCATAAAAAATACTATATAGAACCAAAATAAAAAAATTAGTCTGAAAAAGAAACGTTTTTAACAAAAAAATTATTGGGGAAGGGGTTAAGAGACAGAGTTGGAGACGATGGATTCAGCTCCAAACACATCGTGTTTGAAATGCTGTGAATTAAGTGATAGAGATCCGACCCTCACCCCAAAGGGAATTCTAACTAACCCGGGAGAGAGGCTGCGAAGAGCATGGCGGAAGTCTGAAAACCCACGGGAAGTCCTGCAGAACAGGCACCCGCGGAGCAGTCTCAATATTCTAGCTCTCTTCGTTTTCTTCTGTTTATTAGCTTTTTGCACGTGTTGTTTGTAGTTTTCTTTCAGAAGATCCTTTCCTTATTCCTGAGCCTGAAACTATCTTTAACGAACAGTTGTGTCTGCTCAGAGGCACCTTGTTAAGGTGGGTGCTCGTCAGTCCGTGTATCGTCCCCTCCCTCCCACTGGCTCGCCTCTCCTTTCCTGGTAATTTCCTTAGCGCTGCCTCGTTTTCCTCCCTGTGTCCAGTCTCCAGGCTTCGCTCTTTGCGACCTGCCCCTTCTGCAGAAGTAGGAGACGGGAGTGACAGAGTATCGCCTTTCCTGGGATGCAATGAACGTGGTTCTAAAATCAGCCGTTTTTGACAGAGGCTCTCGTTTCTGTCGCCGGCCAAATTGTACAAGCCAGCTATTCCCAACCTATGAAATGTTTATTAGCAAAACTGGAAAGAGAATGTGTAGCTTCCAGGCCGTTTTTCTGCCAACGCTGTTAACCATGGTACTGCCCAAGGACCAACATACAGGCTTTTTAAGAAATGGGGATGAGCCCTGGCCGGTTCGGCTCAGTGGATAGAGCTTCGGCCTGCAGACTGAAGGGTCCAGGGTTCGATTCCGGTCATAGGGCATGCCTCCTCCCTGGCCCAGGTCGGGGTACGCGGAGGAGGCAACCAATCGATGTGTTTCTCTCACATCGATATTTTCCTGTCTTTCCCTTTCTCTTCCACTCTCTTTAAAAAAATCAATGGAGAAATATCCTCAGGTGAGGATTTAAAAAAGTAAATAAATTATGGATTGGTTTTGGGTGTTGCCGCTTAGTGGTTAGACAATCATCATTTACCTCGTGTTCCCCTGGACGTTTGTATGACCCAACTTTTCATGTTTCACTGACTACACTGGACC